GCACTTCTCCTTTTGGAAGAGCTGGAAGTGAAAGCAAAGAGTGGAGAGGGCCCACTGCACCTCCCACCCACACTAGCCCCACGGGAGGGTGTTTGGGGAGTCACCCCACTGCCTGAGAAGCAATGAGGGTGCCGGGCACAGCACAAGGCTGGCACGCTGCCTCTCCTGAGCCATGACTCTTGGCAAGGGGTGGGCATCTGGGGAGGTGCTGGTGGGGCTGCCTGGCCAGCCGGGGGTGGTTGGATGCCAGTGTGCCGCAGGAGCAGGGCTTTCTCCAAAGTGAGGGGAAAGCCAGCGTGTTGCCAGTGCAAGCCCTGTCTCCTCGCAGTTTTCCTCCATCTCTTCTGATCCTAGGTTATTCCAGGATCTTCATGGGAGAAAGGGGCTGAAGCTCTTTTTAGAATGGGAAAATCATTAATTTAACGCTGCTCCCGCTCTTTCCCATCCCCTGCCCCAGCAGCGTAATGTGGCTTCTTAACAGTGCATGCTCTAGTTAATGAAAAGCACTGAAACACAGGTCCAGCTCTGGCTATTTCCAAGAACTCTTGGTCCCATAAAACCATAGGAAACCATAATTTCAGCAAATAAATCAGTTACTGCCTATCTCTCTGGCTGAATGCATGGAAAGGGAAGAGCACCCCGCTGGCTCCGTGCACGGGGAGTAACACCAGGCAAGTTCCACCAGCGTTCGTGCTGGGAAAGGAAGGCGACAGGCAGTCCCAGCAAGGCACGTCTCCCTCAAACAGACAGTAAAGGAATGCCATATGCTGTAGGGACAATGTACAGTGAGCACTGAGCTCATCAGTTACTTTTTGTTTAATCTAATTAAACACAATATATCCTCTGACCTTCTGGGTTGGCACTGAATTCTCCTATGTTGTTCTTTCCATATGAAGCTCTATTGACAGATGGGGAAAGCCTAGAGTTTGCTTTAAGCTTCAGATAAGTAAAGTTAAACATGCAGCAGATAAAATTGTTTTCCCAGCACTCCTCTCTCACTGACCAATTGTGGGTGCTCGCTGGGAGGGCTTAACTCCTCTGGCCCGTGTCCCACCTCTGGCTCAGGGCACCGTGCTCCACAGCAAGCGAAAGCTGGAGAGGGCAGAGGCAGAAGCAGAGTTCTGAAGAAACACTTCAAAGTTCATTTTTAGAGTGATTTATGACAGTTGCTCAGCTTCATTGAGGCAGATGATCAGGGAAAATGATGTTGCTCCTCACTAAATATATTTCCAGAGTCGCTAAATAATTTGCTACTTAACAGCTCATCAGTTGGTATTTGCTGATGCTGAAGCAGGTTTTAAATACAAAGAGTTGAACTGCATCTGATACCTCGTGCATATTCCCTGCTTAACAGGCTACCTGCTGTTGCTGGGTGTGCAAGTCTGCAGTCGGTCAGCAGGGCTTCATGAGTTTTCTGGGAGGCAAAGCGACCACAGAGCTGGCTCTGGGGGAGAGCAGGGTGCTGGGGTGCTGCAAGCAGGCACAGGATTTGATCATGCAAAAGAGCTGGAAGCGTGCTCAGCTTTCAGCCTGACAACCTGCCCGCTCACTTCCTCACAGGCAAATGAGAAGAGCACGTATCTGCCCTTCACCAGCATCGCTTGGTAACACCACCTGCAAAGCTATTTTTTCCAGTATGGTGAAAAATCCTTTAGCCTGAGTCTGGGGAGTTACCTACCTCCATGTACTGTACCTGCATTCCTGAACCTCTGTGCAAATAAATCCTTGAAGTATCACCCAAAAGTTGCAGAAGAGCCTGTTGGCAATGCCCTTACAGCTCCTGACAGGATGGGTCAAAGAAGATTTTCCTGTAAATAGCTTTAATACTCCTTTCATGTATTAATAGTGCTGGGCAGGGCAGGAGGCAGCAGCCCGCCAAACACAGAGGGGCTGTTTCCTGCACGTGGCCGTGGAATTAAACTGGAGTGGTGTGAACCTCGTGGCTCTGATTTTCCATGGCCAGCTGCAGGAGCCCAACATGGGGCCTGGCGTGACTGGGATCCCAACCCATTGCCTTCAGGATGTCTGAATGCACACCAGTGTTTGTATGAATGCAGACCTCTTGCTGGAAGCTCTCGTCCATCCCTGGTGGCTGTGAAGGACCCAGCCACATGTGGCTGTGGTTCACCGCCACATAACATCTCTCTTGGAGCTGTAGGGAAAGTTCAAAGCATGACCTCAAAGCAGCTCATTACCTGGGAAAAGTTTCATTATCTTTAGGCAAAGAGGATTGCTGAGGGCATTGTGTAGTGTTGCTTCTCCATGGTCCAGCCTCCATTTCTACTCTGCAGTGGGTCAGCAGTCCCAGATGAAGTTGTGCATCTGCTGGTTTACTTGGGGAGCTGCCCCTTGCAAAGCTCACCGCCTTTTGGGCACTCCCACAACAGAGACACCAGACATTTTGTATAGAACCCCTCAAAAAATTTTACCCAGCAGGCTCCTCTGTGCACGCTGGGCAGTAATGTGCAATGGGGTGAGGGCACAGGAGAGCTTCCTTTTGATGAAGCAAACTTTCCTTCATAACACTGAGGTGGTTCAGGCATAAACCAAAAATCCAATAACTCTTGAAGGGATTGCAGAAGGGATGGTTCCTTCTCTCCTGCATGTGCCCACATGATTGCACCCCTGAAGCCAGGAGAGCAGAGGGCTGTGTGAAGCACAATTGCCAGTGACCCCTGTGGCAGTGACAACTTGTCTCACAGTCTGTTTCCAGGAGTTTGGGAGTGACTTGAGATGGATGAAGCCACCTCAAGCCTCTCCATAAAACAAGTCCTTAAACGTAACTTTAAAACTTGGGTTGGAAATGCCTGGCCAAAGGTGTGCCTGAAATCAGGTGGTGCCTGGATGAAAACATTTCCCTCTGGTGTAAAAAGATGGGGAAGTGTTACCTGTTCCTGGTGTGGGTGTGCTCAGTGACCAGCTCTCCGTCTTGTTCAGCTCCGCAGGAAGGTTGTTGTGGTGTTTTGTGTCTCCAGGGGACTTGGGGCTGTTACCCTTGACTGGGAGCAGTGCTGGAGCAGAGCGCATCACTCCTGGGTAAGCCCCAGCAGAGGGAAGCTGGAGTGGCTTTTCCTGCTTCAGGGGGCACTTGTCTCTCTTCTGCCTGCTCTTTGAAGTACCTCAAGGTTTTAGCTATAAGGCTCTAACCACTAAAAAACAAAATCTTGGCTTGGGAAGGCACATTGCCTTGGCGTGTTTCCTGGGACTGAGTGACTTACAATGCTGTGCCGTAACCAGGGGGAGGATTCTTTCTCCTTGTTGTAGAGGAGGTGGGTCACACTCGTCTGGAGTCCAAACTCCCTCAGAGACTTTGTCTTCCCCCTTTTTTTCATGACATCAGGCAGAACTTGATGTTACTATTTTAAAAACAAAAGGAGGGGACACCCCCCCCGCTTCCCTCACGCTCTCTGCCAAAAAGGAGAACAAAGAACAGCTAAAGCACACAAGTTCTGGCACTCAGTTTGGAAATAAAAACATTCATCCTCATGTCAGGTAGGGAACTGCCCGACCCCCCTGCCAAGGCAAGCAAGCTGGCCGGCAGAGTAAACCCAGGGCGCAGAGGAGCCTGGGTGAAGGGGATGCCCGGTGTCACACCGTGCTCGGGCAGCTGCCTGCCAAGCTCCTGCACTGCTGTCCCGGTGCCAGGGCATGGCGGGACGCTGCCAGCCACGAGCAGTCATCCAGGGAAGGGTCACGCTGCTCCTCGCAGGCTGGGAGGTGGGGGAGGACCTTTCTTCTTCCCCTTTCCCACCCCCAGTCCCCACCGCAGCCTCGGCATCTCCACACGGCGTGTCCCTGCTCCCCGGCAGGGCTGGTGCGCGGCGCAGGGGGAACCCAATGGGATTTCCACGGCAGGGACACTGACATCTTTGTCTGGCTTCTTCCTTGCCATTTAAACATGTCAGCAGTTCCCAGCACGGATTCCTGTGCTGTGAGTTCAGCCCCGACAAGCATCCAAACTGCAAGTCGGGGCTGCTGGCTCTTCCCCGCCTGTCTGCGAAGCGTTACTGGAACAGGGGACAGTTCTCCAAACACGAGGAAGAGATTACTTGGGCTTTCTGGAAGGCTCCCTCCCATGCCTTCCGAGCGGAGCAAATGAGGATAATTTATCCTTGGGCTTCCGGCTGAACCCAGTAGCTCAGAGGAGCCAGGACTACGCTGTCTGTTTGTCCCAGCTCCTGCAAGAAGGCATTTTTCCCTTGTTGCCTTTCTGTATTGTTCGCCTGATTTGTTTGCACCATCACCCTCTGGGGCTGAGATAAGAGGTCGTCCCCCTGCCTTCTACCGGTGGCGCATTCCCCAGAACAATCCAGGGAAAAACTCTCACAGGAAAGAGCCTTCGAAGGAGGCTTTCGTGTGTCCGACCCAGCCCTAGTTACAGTCATGTAAAGAGTTTTGTGGGATCAATCTGGCGAGAAACACCACGTGTCAGAAGGGAATTGTTCTCCAAAATGTAGCTGGGCCAAAGCAGGCGGGTCAGCCACCCGTGGGTTGCCAGCTTAATGGACAAAGCAGCTGCCTTTCAGCAGGGAACAAAAGCCAGGGGGTGAGCCTCTGCTCTCTTGTTCCCCACGGGAGCTGGAGCCCAGCATTGTGGCCGGGTAGAAATCGCGGGCTCCCTTCCCCACTCCCTCTGCCAGGAGCTAACGTGGTACCCCAGGATGGATTGATGTCCCCGCTGCTTCTGCGGAGGGACGCGGGGTGCGGAGACAAGGTGATGCGGGTGGCTGGGCCCTCTGCAGCAGAAGCAGCCAGCTGGAACAATCCACCATCCACTTCAGGGAGGTTACTTGTGATTTTTGAATGTAGAGTCGAGGCCCAGCAGCTCCAGCTTGGCACAGGGCAGTGGGAAAAGAGCAGATTCTCTGTTTGCTTCCATCCTGTGATGGCTCCGGTGCCTCCTTCCTTTTCCAAAACAGCTGCGCGCTGCCTGAAGTGACTTTATGGACAGTAAAAGCTTAAAACATCGCATTCACCTTCAGAATATTTTTTTCCCTTAGAGCAAATCATGGCGGAAGATCAAGAATATGGTGCACTGGTCCCCATTTGTGATGTCTTTCAAGAAGAAGTACCCTTGGATCCAGCTCGCAGGACACGCAGGTATGGAGCGCGGGGAGGGGCAGAGCAGTGGAAAGGCTCCTTGTTCCCTCGGGTTAATGGGCTTTGTTGCCCAGAACCACTTCTGGCTGCTGCGTGAATGGCACAGATTGCAGCTCCCATGTCTCTGGCCCGGGAGAGTGACTTAGCCAAGTGCTAAGGGAGGCTGAAGTGAAGAGGCAGTGCTCTCTGCTTTCAGTCTCCCAGGGCCAGCAGGTATTACTGCTGCTTTTCTCTCAAGCCCCAGAAAGCTGAGTCCTTCGGGTGAGACCAAGCCCCTCTTGCTGATCCACAGCAAAGTGGGTGATGCTGCCCAGCCCAAAGATTCCCCATGCATGAGCCCAGAGACAAAGGTGTGAACCTACCATGAAACACAGAGAGGCTGTGAGGCCAATGTGTTGGGTGCTGCAGGGCAGCTCTCCGTGCTGTTTAAGGTGTGACATTGCTAGTCGTAAGCCTCTAACGCTGCATGTGAATCTGGCAGCCTGAGCTTGTAGGTCTCAGTCTGCAGGGATTCTTTTGGGTTCAGGTGTAAACGGAGACACCCTTCTTGTTTTGGAAAGGCAGAGCATCATCCCCCATCCAAAGCAAGCGCCACGTTGTCCCTTGTCACCCTTCAGGTAGTTTCAAGGCAGCAGCCAACGGCAGGATCCTGAAGAAGCACTGTGAGTCGGAGCAGCGCTGCCTCGACCGCCTGATGAACGACGTCCTGAAGCCCTACGTCCCAGCCTACCACGGCGACGTTGTCAAGGACGGAGAGCGATACAACCAGATGGAAGATCTGCTGGCTGAATTTGACTGCCCCTGCGTTATGGACTGCAAAATGGGAGTCAGGTGAGTGGCGCTGGGGGCGCCGTTTGAATTTTAAGATGGGATACTTAAAGGAAACGCACGTCCTGGGTAAAACACTCTGAAACACAGAAGCGAGAACACCAGAGTCACCTCTCTTCAGGAAAAGCTAAGCCAACAGCATGAGGAGAGAGCCATGGGAAAGCCTGGCTACAGGAAGGACACTCCAGTCTCTTTCCTTCTCTGTTGACTGTCCTGTGTGACAGGAAAGTGGTTTGGTGCAGTGGAGGGGACAACATTCTGTTAGGGTTTGGGTACAGCAGAACGGCACAGTAGCTTTTAGGAAGATGGCAGCCTGCCTCTCTCTGCTGCAGGAGGACACGACTGGTAGGCAGGGAACCAGAGGTGTGGGAAATCCTGCCCAGGGTGCCAAGGAGTGAAATAAAGATACCTGAATGGCACAGCTTTGGTGAGCGAGAAACTTTCCTGCTGCTCACCGTTTGCTCCCATGCACCCTTGAGGGATAAACTGTGCATGCTAAGTAGTCTAGTGCCTTTCATGCAAAGTTCTTGAAACATTTCCTAACAGATGAGCAACATTACCCATGTCCTGCTTGAGAACCATCTACAGATACGCCAGGATCCCAGGCTGCAGCCGTTTGGCCAGCAGCAGGTTTTCAGCTAGAGACGCTGTAGCTGATGAAGGTGTCCCAAAGCAAATGTGAGCAGGGCTGGTGACCCCAGGCGACTGCCAGTTTTGGAGCAGCCTCAGGCCACCTCTTGGCCCTGGGGCTGCTGCGGGCTGGTGGCAGGCCCGGCTGAGACCCCCCTCCCTGGCTAAGGCACAGCCCAGACACAGTGGAGACGCTTGCGCTGCTGGAAAAGCTGATGGTTTCTGTGGGAGGGAGGAATCTTTTTTTTTCCCTCCCGAGCTCCCGATGTGAAACTCAAACCGGCGTCTGGGGCTGTCGGCAGGGAAGAGGAGAAGAATACTTTCCACTGGAGGGGTGGAAAAGGACAGGAGGCCCCAGCACAGCCACGTGGCACACACTGTGCTGCCCCAGGAAGGAGACGGGACCCACTCTGGGACCCTGAGATGGCAGCCACCAGAAGAAGACCCGCCTGAGTGCTCTTGCAGCTGTCTCTGGGAGGAGTAAAGTCTCCTGCACACAAATCACAGGCTGGGTGATTTGTGCACCAGGATTTTTGGAGCTAAGACAGTCAGTGCGCGCAAGGGGGCAAATGTGCCGGGCGTCATGGTGCTGTGGGAGGAGCTGGTGAAAGAGGGCGAAACAGGCTAATGTTGGAGAGTGGGACATCCCCATGGCTAGGCAGGAGATGCTTTGCAAGATAAACGAAACCTCAGGGCTATTAAACCTGTCCTCTGAGGCAGCAGCTTGCTGCCAGGCAGATGCAGTTTTGTGTTTTCCCTGCCAACCTGGCTTTGGGATGAAGCAGCCTCCTCCAGTCACCCCTAAAGAAAAAATTTGTCTTTCTTAAGCTCTGGTGATGGTTCAAACCTGGAGTGATGCAGGGGGACGGAACTGCAGACATGAATGATCTGTCATTCTCATCAAAAGGAAATCTAGCTTTCTGAGCAGCATGAGCAGCACTTCTGAGCACACCACTGCCTTATTCTGCTGTTTTATTCCATCTGAATAAAAAACCCATGGCTTTGGTAATCTCATCTGAAGCCTTTCAGTGCTTTCATCTGCAGTGTTTTTCAAAGGGCCTGGTACCCTGGGGTTGTCTGCTCGGTAGTCAGTGATCATATGCCTGTCCTGACAAAAGACACCAGTTTGCTTTGCTATGCTTGTGAGAAACACCAGAACACCATCCCGTGTAGTCTGCCTAGCATTCTCCCAGGGTGTTTTGCTTGGTTCTGGAGGTGAACCTCATGCTCAGTGCCATGATTTTGGCACAAGGGACATGGTGAGAGGTCACGGTCCCTCTGCAGAGCTGGACATCGTTAGTGGGAGATGTTTGGGACTTGGATTTGGGGGGAAGGAGGTGACAGATAGGGCCATTCCATTTTGCTGGGACATCCCACCCAGTTTTTTGGAGAGAGCCTAAGCACTTGCTGGGCAGAGCCAGGGCAGGTTTGGGAGCCACAGGAGGAGTTACATAGTGGTTTGTTAGTGCTGCAGGAAGCACTGTTCTGTGGGTAATGACTTTCTGTGTGCCAGAGTGCAGAAGTTCTCCACTGATGTGCTCTGGCAGAGAGTGGCGCTCCTCTGAAGGATGCATAAAGCCAACATCTTTGCACACTCCTCTGCACTCTCCGTGCTCCTTCCCCCACTCCCCCACCCTGGCTGCACCCCATAGTCCTTGGGATGGTGGTCAGCACCTGGCCAGGGCTGCATCCCTTCCTCTGCTCCATCCAATCCAGGAAGCTTTTGCTAGGTAGTCTACTTAAAACAGATAAAAAATTATCAGCAGTGGAACAGTCCTGTGTGCAGACACGCTGTACAGCACCTCGTAGTGCACGGAGGGAGGGGCTGGGAAAGAGCAGGAGAGGCACAGGAGCAACAGCTGCCTACCTCCTTCTGTCACCTCCTTCCCCCCAAATCCAAACTGCTCTACTCCACCCACTAGCCACACCCAGCTCTGCAGAGCGGCAGGGGGAAGCAGCAGAGCAGCCACCCACACTGGCCAAACCTCAGAGGGAGCAGCAGTTGACACCAAGGGCTGGGATGCACCAACCTCCCTCTTGCCTTCAACTCAACCATGTCCCAGAGCATGTGGGCAGTTTTCTGGGCACATCTGAAAAGCCATGTTTAGTTTGTGAGAGCCTCTAAGTAGCTGCTCAAGTTTGTTGAGTGTTGGAGGACATGCTTCCCAGGCCCCCCAGGAGTGGCAGCAAGGGGCTGCCAGTGGGACAGCAAGAACACCACCTGGGACACCTGTGTGAAATAACCTCCCTTGTTTTTGCCAGACTCCTTTTGGTTCCTTGATGAACAGAAAAGATACCAGATGTTGATGATGGGGTGGTAATTAAATCAGGATCCACTCACCTGCAATGAGGTTTGCTCCATTTCTTGTGCTGCCCTAGTCTGTAGGGATCAGCTGTCCCGGGTAGGCCTGATTTCTGGGGCAAGGGCTGTCTGTGGGTATGTGGCACCTCGTGTGGTTGCCCTGTGACCCGCCTGATATCCTCCCCTCATCACTCCTTGCAGGACATACTTGGAGGAGGAGCTGATAAAGGCCCGGAAGAAGCCAAGCCTGAGGAAGGACATGTACCAGAAGATGATCGAGGTGGACCCTGATGCCCCCACAGAGGAGGAGAACGTGCTGCGGGCAGTAACCAAGCCCCGCTACATGCAGTGGAGGGAGACCATCAGCTCAACAGCCACACTGGGCTTCAGGATTGAGGGGATAAAGGTGAGGCTGCTTCAGGTGTGCAGAGCAGGGGGGAGGGCTGCTGGGAGCGGCTGGCAACCACACTCACTCACAGAGGCACGCACACGACAGGCTGGTGGTGAGACCATGTCACATCGGGACAGCCCCAGTCCCTGCAGCCCAACCACCCTTGTCGGGCACCTGGCCCTGGGCGGTGCTGCTCTTCTGAGAGCACAGCTGAGCTCAGGACATTGATGCAAGAGGACAGTTCTAGCCATCATCTCCTTCAATCAGCCACTCAGTTGTCTTCCCTGACTGCGAAATGCCAAGTGCTGTCCCCCAGCTTGGAGACTTCAATTAGCTGTTTGCTTTTGCTGCTGCTGTGCCGCCAGGCTGAGCCATTAATGCAGATCCCAGCTTGAACACGTGCCGATCTGTGGTTGGAGCTGTGAGTTTATTTGCAGTCAGGGAGGAGGCTGCATTTACATCCCTGTCTGGAAAAATTCAGCAGCTGAGCCCTATGAAATGGGACAGCCACAAGCAGCAGCACTTTCTGCTGGCACCTTGACACATGCGTAACCTGCTGACTGCACTTGCTCAGAGCAGCACTCCCCTTTCTGAAGATACCTGCTGAAGTGCTTTAGTGTCCCCATTAGATGAACCAGCCCAGGAGTTTTTCTTCTGGCAAGTAGACTTTGTCACAAGAGGATGTGCTCTGTGGTTACAGACCCAACTCTGCTCAACTTCCCACTGTATGTGGGAAGCCCAGCAGAGCATGTTTATAGGTTGGAAAAGGCCTCTAGGATCATCAAGTCCAACCTTCAACCCAACACCACCATGACCATGAAGCCATGTCCCAAAGTTCCATGTCTGTCTGGTTTTTTGAACCCCTCCAGGGATGGTGCCTTCACCACCTCCCTGGGCAGCCTGGTCCAACGCCTCACCACTCTTGCAGGAAAGAAATTCTTCCTAATATCCAATCGAAACCTCCCCTGGCACGACTGAAACCTATTTCCTCTCATCCTATGGCTAGTTACTTGGGAGAAGAGACCAACCCTCACCTCACTACAACCTTCTTTCAGGTAGTTGTAGTGAGCAATAAGGTCTCCTCTCAGCTTCCTCTTCTCCAGGCTGAACAATCCCAGTTCCCTCAGCCACTCCTCATAAGCCATGTTCCCCAGACCCTTCAGCAGCTTTGTTGCCCTTTTCTGGACCTGCTCCAGCACCTCAATGTCTTTTTTTATCCTGTGGTGCCCAAAGTCAAACCCAGTATTTGAGGTATGGTCTCATCAGTGCCGAGTCCAGGGGCACGATCACTTCCTTCCTCCTGCTCCTCATGTTGCATGCAGGGATGAGAGTACCTTCGTCATTCAACTATTTTTTTGGCCAGCAGACAGTGCATTTATCTCTAACTCAACCAATCTCAAAAACCCAAGGAGCAGCCCTTGGGATGAACCTCTTCAAGAGTTTTGTCGCAAGCAACGTGAGGCCTGTGCCCCTGCCTGGGGTTCTACTGGTCATGCTCCCCAATAACAGCTTTCTGCAGTGCCTACACTGGTTCAGGGCACTTGCCTGCTCCTGCAACTCTTCCCTGATCAGCTCAGCTCTCCCAAAGACCCTTTTCTGCCATAAGTACCCACAAGCATACTGTGAGATGCTCCAGCTCAGGACAACCCTTTGCCTAGTTCCCATTGCTGCTGTTTAGCTGGTGCTTATTATAAAACTGAGGCTATATAAAAAAGGAGTGGGCCAGTTGGGACCAAAGCTCCCATGGACTGTTTCTTCTCCCTGCTTTCTTGTTCTAATCAGGAATATGTCTATTTATAGTCTGAGATGATATATCTTTGGCCTCCAGCGGCGCTTCTCGGCCTGTGATCTGGGGATGTTTAGGGAGATTTATGGCAAAAGCAGGTCATGTGCAAACCACTTGAAATTAAAAATGTAAAAAAACCCCAAATCATATTCCCCCACAGGCTAAAAAACCACTATGGAGGGAAATAAAAGCCATAAAGGAGAGGTCAGAGTTGCACCTCTGTTTTAGCCAACCATAAGTGAGCTGCTGTGTGATGTGAGCAGTGGAATTTTTTTCAAAGAGGTGAGGCAGCCCTTTAATTGCAAAATGTTGAGTAGTGGTGGTCTCCAGGAGTAATCCTGCTGCTGCTAGGGGCTGGTTAATTTGATCAAGGCTCTAATTACTGTAATGCTTCTTAAATCCCTTGGTGTCTGGATTATTCTCCCCTTAGCTAAAGCATTGACAGTTCACTCTGGTTCCCTGCTGGCTTTTTTTTCCAGCAGGGCTGTGCAGTATCCCTGTATTTGCCCTATTTTTGAGGTTGAGTCTCTGCATTAAGGAGAGCTCCTTCAGTGTCCTGTCCTGAGCTGCTACTGAGCCCTCTGAGGAAACTTCAGGAAAATATTTAATGATGAGTCTTCCCATGTTTTCTTTCCTGCTGCGGATGCTTGTGGCCAGAGGCTGATTCACGAGAGCGCTTTGCTGTGCAAGAGAAGGGCAGGATTTGGCCCTGTGTGGTGGGCTGGAAGGAGGCACAGGGGAAGGAGGGAAGTCATGGTAGCCTTTGGGACAGCATGGGCAGGTGAGGTGAGCAGGCAGCTCAGGCTCGAGAATGGGGTTGGGGACCCTTCCCTGGCTGAGCTCTCGCTTTCCCAGGTGGCCTTGAGGATCCTGTTCTTCCTTTTTAAAATGGAGATTTTCCTCTGCAAAAGGAGTTGATGATTGTCATCTAACTTTCTGAATAGCTTGAGACTGTCAGAAACAGTAACTAGTAATAAAATTACCATGCTAAAAGTAATACAAGTTATCCCTGGTGATCCAGTTGAAGCTTACTGGAGCTCACTGTAAGAAGTTTCATTCCCAAGCTGCTGCTCTGGTCTAAGAGTGACTCACCATGTCCTGCAGCAAGGCCATGGTGAGACAATATTCCTAGGGGCTAGGACATTTGTGAGGTCCCAGAACCAGCCCTGAAAGTCCTCTCCTGACTTTCCCAAGATGGGCAGCTCTGGAGCCCCATCCAAGGCCAGGCACAGTGCTGGAGGCTGAGCCAGCTGACCTGAAAGCTGCCTCAGTGACGCCGGCACAAACTGGAGTCGCTGGTGGGGCAGAGGTTGCCATAGCCCTTATCAGCCCCCCTCACATTTCTGCTGCCTGGAAGCAGCGCCCTCGGGGCCTGGACACCTGTAAATGTCGTGGCAGTTGTCAGCCCCATGGC